TTTACGTCAAATAAAGAGCGGCCGAGTGTTTGGCGACCCTGACTGTCAGACTCTGAGGTTCAGTTCCCAGCAGTTATCGATTTAAAAACTTTAAGAATCTATATATCTAAGTTATGAAATTGGTCTCTTTTCTTTTGTATATGCATATACTCGTAAATCCTCATCTTTAAAGAATGTACTTGTAGAATCTATATCTGTTATTAAGTTGGTCTCTTTTCTTTTGTATGTGCATAAGACGTCCTTATCTTTAAAGTATGTACTTGTTCTCTAGGTATAAGATACCTTTTTCGGTTATTCGCAAAAGAAACCCAATTTATTATGGGGCACAGAAATAACGAAAAAAAAAACTTGCGAAATGTATGTCTTGACATTTTTGCTTTTTACTCATTCTCGGCGCTCTCAATAAGTGGTTGGGAACAGAAACTACTTTTTCAAAAGGACCACCAATATTAAAGCTTTATGGAAAACTGGGGATCGATACTAATGAAACCAATAATCGTTGTCACGCATTGGCTGGTTGAAAATAATAAAAAACAAGGACAAGTGCGAGTCGAACTAGCGCAAAGGGGGTTCCGTAAGAACTCGTAGGTGTGTTCGTTAATTTTTCCGTTTTCCATTTAAGTGTCCCTTTGCTTGTGCTACTTGGTATTGCTCATTAGGTACCTTTCATGATTCTAGGTTAACGGGACTGACTTGTCCTATAGGTTTTGCTTGCATTGCGAGCTTAAATTATGCAGCTAAAGATGAGCATGAAGGGAACCATATGTTTTGATGAGTTTACTAAGAAGTTTGATTTTGCCACTGCTTCAAGGGATTGCAGATCTGAGTTTTATATTTGATACTAGTGGCTCGCCCTCGCTTCGCTTCGGTGTAGAGCTGTAGTGTAAACTATAGTTTTTGTTCTCAGGCTTGTGCTATAAAGAATGACTTTATTTATATAATTACACGTGTTATTGTGAATCAACCATAAAAGATAGACATATGCTGTTGCGGGATATTTTTTAGACAATTTTATGTAGAATATTTCCGTCTTACATGATTTCTATGTAACTTTAACCATTAAGGCTGCACCCGCGACGGAAGCTTAAAAATGGAGTAACTTCTCCCGTTTTCCCAACATTTCCCTTCACTACTCTGCTGCTATTGATTGTAGCGTGATGAAAAGTATACTATAACCTGCCCAGGAGTATGAAAAATAATTGTACCAAGTTTCGTTAAAATCCGTTGAGTAGTTTTTGTTTCTATAAGGAACATACACACAGACAGACAGACAAAAAATTTACTGATTGCATTTTTGGCATCAGTATCGATCACTAATCACCCCCTGATAGTTATTTTAAAAATATATTTCATGTACAGAATTGACATCTCTACAGATTTATTATAAGTATAGATAACAGAATTTCAGCTTAATACCTCCACGCGTTCCTGAGAAAAAGGTACTGGTTCCATCTTTCTTTCTTTTACAATGCATTAATACACTGGTCATCACAAAAATCGGCCCACCTACATTTTACAGAAAAACTCATGTTTTAATATTTTGAATGAAATAAATTGTATTATAATTGTAATTGTTCACTAAACAAATTCATTTTTTTAATTAGTCACAAAATTATTGATCTTAAAGATCAAAATTTAACATTTTAACAAAAAATTAAGAAATCGCCATTTTAACCCTATTTTAATGTTCGTGTTGAACACTTTGTAACTTTTTAGTCTTATACGTTATTGGAACAAAACTTCTACGTTAATATTCGGTGTTCCCCCCTCTTGCTCTAATCACTGCCTGCATTCGCCGTTTCATTGATCTTATTAAAATGGCGATGGTTCCTTGAGGAATTCGGTCCCATTCTTCCCTTATGGCGGTTTCCAACGCTTCTAAGGTTGTAGGGGCGGGTTCTCGAGCTCTAACCTTCTGTTTTAGCGTGTCCCACATGTGTTCTATAGGATTTAAATCCGGACTTCTTGCTGGCCACTGCATAACCCGAATGCCGACCTCTTCCAAGTACTGAGTAACAATGCGCGCTACGTGTGGCCGTGCATTATCATGCATAAACACGAAGTTTTCTCCGATGTAGCCTGCATACGGCACGACATGATCTTCTAGGATCTCCGTTATATAACGTGGAGCAGTAAGAGAACTCCTTCTGATAAACTCCAGCTCTGTACGTGCTGTCAAAGATATCCCGCCCCAAAACATTATAGAGCCTCCACCATAACTGACAGTTTCTCTTATACAGGACTGAGCGTAACGTTCACCTGGCTTTCTCATGACATTACGGCGCCCATCAGAGCCGTATAAAGTCATTCGACTCTCATCACAGAATAGAACTGAAGCCCATTGGTCTATAGTCCATTCAAGATGTTCCCTCGCAAATTGAAGTCTGGCTTGACGATGAGCTACGGTCAGTTGTGGTCCTGTTGCTGGTTTGTGAGGTCTTAAGTTCTGTTCACGAAGTTTTCTTCTCACCGTACTGTCACTTATAACCACACCCCGCACTTCACACAGCCGTCGCTGGAGAGCTACGACAGAAAGGTGCCGATTTCTTAGAGCCGATGTCACAATAAACTGGTCATCTCTTTGAGTGGTGACCCTTTGTCTTCCAGATCCTGTTCTTCTACGGTACTGCCCAGTCTCTTGAAACCTCTGGTAAACTCTCCGAACCGCAGATCGACTGAGATGTAATCTTCGAGCGACAACACGTTGACTGAAACCCTCTCGCAGCAAAGCCACAACTTGAGCCGATTCCGCTTCAGTAGTATCCATAATTCCAGGCTAATTTAATACGAATTACAGTGATAATCAATAAAGTAATAAATAGTAATAATCGTCAATAACAATTACACTGTTATAAACACCTGGTTGGGAATTAAACAGGACCAAAGTGAATACGGACGCATTCATCAAAACGGCACTGAGCAGTGTTTACTTTAAAATTTTTATTAAGTACCCTAATGTGCGTTAAGATTTATGGGAATCAAATGTCAAACATCTTATCCGACCCTAGACATAAACAAAACGTACTTCTAAACGCTTATCTTTGAAATTATCAAGAGCAAAAGTGCAAAAGCCTGTTGAACTTGACGCCTTGTGCAAAAATTTCACATTGGTACTTAAAATACAATTATTTCCCACTCTGTCCTGAGCAGGAAAGGCAATTTGCTGCATGGTACGATCCTCACTCACAGTTATTTCGTGTTGTTATTCGTATTTAGTCGTCAACGAGACGACGGCAGGTTGACGGCTGCCGCTGAAAGGTCGCCTGCAGCGACGCCTGCAGTTGCGCTGCCTTCGGCTGCGAGCCGCTCGTCTATATGAACCCTAAGGGTGCTTATTAACGACCGTTTTCCCGTTAATGTTGTTGGTGTTGAACACAATAATTTAAATCTTTTAGTAAATATTTTGTGTATTATTGGATATTTTATAGAAGTACTAGTGGATGCCCACGACTTGGTCAGCGAGGAAAATTGGAAATTTTGGTTTCACATACAGACTTCGTCTATACTAATATTATAAAGAGAAAAGATTTGTTTATTTGTATTAAATAGTTATTAACGTTAAGAATCATATATTATCCCTGATGAACATAGGCTAAAGAGTATTTAAAAAAAAATGTCAGGGTTCTTTATGAAAACTTCGATATACTTTCCCAAAAATAACCTTATATTATGCCATGATCACAGAGTAATAGTTCACAACTCCGTGATCATGGCGCTTGCCACAGTGCCGAAATATCAGAGACTCATAAAAACAAGGTACATGGTAACAATCCCGTTATTAGCTATAATTTATCAAAACATTATTTTATTAGCATATAAAAATAAATTACATGACTTCTTTTAATGTTTTCTCTAACATTAACTCTTCGAATAACATTTATTTTTATATCATTTAAATATCTGAAAATTATTAATCTCAGAATGAAAACACAAAAACAATGAAAACAGTAAAATGATAAGACAACGAGTTCTGGAAGGATCGAAAGTAGGTAATGTTAAACTTCTTAGTAGTGAAAGTTACTTATATATTTTGTTACAAGGATCTATATCTTCACCAGCTTAAAGATGATATACTTATGGTAACTATAATAATGAAGTCATTATCAATAAATACATTTATCAAAACAATTTAATTTGCATATTCAAATATATTACATAAATTCTTTCAATATTTTCTCTTACATCAGCACTTTGATAAAACTATGTTTTTATGTCATTTAAATACTACAAAATACTGAAAAACTATAAATTTTAGAATGAATATGTGTTACCGAAAATAATAAGAGTTAAGTAAAATTCACATTTTCATAAAAACAAAGCAACTTTTATATTTTCCAAAAATCTCCGAGCATAAACGTGTTATTTGAGCACTCGTGGCATGTGTCAGCTGGCGTTTGGACGGGCGCAAAAGGTCGGATGTTTTTTGCGATAGGATTTTTCGATAATTTAAATGTGATACGTATCAAACGCAATCAGTTTTATTGTTCGCAATATGTCGCTTACGAATTTTGATTTGATAAAATAAAGTGAGTGAGTTTGGCGCGACTTCATATGAGATTGAATTATGAAAGGTGTTATTTATTTATTATTGTTATTCTAAGGATGTTTTATACGAATGCTTAGTTCATTGAGGAATATTACAAAAAAAAACACCGTAAGAAAAAATATTTCAACTGCATAACTTTTATTAAAATGGATGAAAAGTTCAACAGTACTAGTTATAATTTTAAATTTTTAAGCATGTACCTGCTTGATGTTTTAATCTAAAGAAAATATAACTAGAAAAAAATCCACGCGAACCAGGTAGCAGACGGGACTCGAACCCGCACCCTTCGCTATCCGAGCGAATGCACTGACCAATTAACGTACTAGTTAGTTTGCACTGCCATTTATATGAAAGAATGAAACACAACGTTTACTCAAAGTCGCCTCGCCCAGGGTCAAAACAACTCGCTTCTACATGATGTACAGAGCCTTCTGCCTGCCATCACTCAACTGACCTGACACTCGGCGTCACCCACGTAGCAGCAGTCTCCGGAGACCGAGGTCGGCGACCACAGGTGTTCCCCGCTGATGGCCGCGTCGCCCCAGTCAGGGGTGGAACGAATGACGCGCGCACCCGCATCTCCAGTGCGTCTGTCAAACAAAATACACATTTTTATACGGGATACCGGATTGACGGCAAAAACTTAGAACGAGAGAATGATGATACAGTAAGAGAGGCTAAAGTGGAAGGGTGTAGGTTATGAAAACCCGGGAGGATAAAAGGTCACCAAATATTTTAAAGAAAATTTTACTTGGATAAAATCTACTTGGTCCAAGCTTTTATTATCCGTGGTCCACCTAACAAGTCCACCTTGGGGGAGTGATGGGACCTGTTCTGACCTTTGATTTACCTGGACTACAAATACTGACGCAGATCCTTTGTACACCTATGTGAACTACGGTTAATAACACAGATCCATGGGCCATTGTCATTCGATTTTCGTAGTGAAAAATGGGTAAAGTAAAATAAATTCTTAGCACCTCTTTGCAATGGGTCACTCGGTGTGAGGGAACGGAGGAAACGGAGGAATAAATAATTTGCAGGCTGGATTCGCATCTGCGCCTTCCGTTATCCGGGTGGATGCACGAACCGCTATGGATAGCGGTAGCTATCCATCCAAGTAGCAGAAGGCGCTGGTTCAAATACAGCCTGAAACCAGGATCAATTGGATTTTTTTTATATTAAAATTTTGTTAACATTTATAAATTAAACACTATGTCCTTTACAAATTCCGTTCTTTAATAATTTTGTCGAGCTACCTTAAAAACTTTTACTAAATATTTTCTCTTGAAAACGTAACCTGTAAAGGTTCTGAAACGTAGATAATAGTTTATGATATTAGGACGGTAAGTTGGTTATTATAAACCAGTAGTCGACTGTAAGCCCAAGACGAAGTCCAGGGTATACCATAGTCACCGAGTTTGTAAATACCAATTTTGCATGAATGTCATAAAAAGTTTTTTAATATATTTGCGAGAAAACAGTACCTTTACCTAATTTAAGGGATGAAGTATACTATTTCTAATAAGAAATGGCGCGCATATTCAAATAGCGCCACGTGGTGGTGAAAGATCTATCGTCTTTTTAATCCTATAAGCCCATCGCTCAAAATTAAAATAAAAGTAAAGGATATGCACGGCGCCATGTATGAGAGAGTGCGATGTATGCAGTCTGCTCGGGAATCGACGCGAAGATGTAGGTGGATATATATATCGTCCAGCAAGACATTTAACTGATGTGACAAAAACTTTGCCTAACACCGATTCCCACATACCGTTAAACTTTGATGGAGCGCTACTAGTCTAAGGGCGTGCGCTGCCTTAAGCAGCAGCATGGAGCTGACGTCCCTTGGGACTCTTCAACCCGTCGTGGGACCCGTGAAAGGGGATTAAGCGGGTCGATAATAGATTATTTTTGTTGATAATACTACCTAGCCAAAAGAGAATTCAGACGAGAGCACAGAAGTCAGCCAATCGAGCGTGCACTGTTGCCCGCGAGGCATGCCCCGTCATCCGCGAGGCGGGCTCCGCCGCCCGCGTCGTGTACGGCGGGTGACCCGCCTCACGCAGCGCTGCTCTATGCAATAACATGAAAGAATCACGCCGTGCAAAACCACAAAATAGATTGTACAGAAGGTTATCTACATACAAAGTGCTCTCGAGCAACGCACACATATACACCGCTAACGGATACGATATCTAGGAACCCTTGGGACCAGTGGGAGCGCGAGTACCATCCGCTTGAGACATATTTTGTCCGTCTGTTAACATTTTTGTGCATTAATGTGGCAATAAAAAAGTTATTATAATTTTACGGTGGACGCTAGTGAGTTTTGTTCGAATTCAACATTAAGCGGTGAATTGTCGTTTTTTATTATTTATTTGTACATATAGCAATAATATTCAAAATGAAATTCTTTAGTTATTATTGGTATATATATATATATATATATATATGTATTCCCTTTCTTCCTGTTTCTAGCTTAACAATAAATCAAACAATTAGATACGTACGAGTGCCACTGCCACGTTTTTTTTGTGCACAAGCCAAAGATGACAATCCTAGCGCGACCGCCGAGCGTACGTATAAAAAGTGAAGTACATACATATGAATACCTTCTGTACTATTTATTTTGTGGTAAAATGATGTCCCACTAATGTTATTTTAAGTATACGCATAGACTTAATAATATACGTATCTTTAATAACTATGGCCTTGACTGTGAACATTCATTATCAAATCACGATCAATAGGCTCTTGGCGTTGTTTTTAGGTGACTCTTCCTCTTACAAAGGTTTCTTTCTAAGTACCTATTTATGTTTATAGAGAGAGTATAATTAGTTATTTATAGTTTACTAATAACTTAAGTCGTTTAACTATATTATTAAATTATAGTTCGTCATGACATGTTAATTGTAGTAGCCATACTTGTCTGATAAAATAATAGGCCATGTACCCTTTTTATTATTTATGGCCAATTTGCCTCGCGATTCACCGAATAGCGCTTTTCGTTTGATGTTTTCACGTTAACAGTATGCGAACTTAATTGAATGTTTTCATAAAAATGTTATGGATCGAATGCACTCTCCGCTAGTATTGCACACAGACCAATAAAATGTGAACCACCCTATCAGAATTTCCATTTTAATTGAATTGAATTCATCGGGATGACATCACTCGTATTAATGTCCCAGCATCTACTTACTTAATGTTAATTGAAATTTGAATGGCTGCTAGTTTCCGCTGAGTATTATGTATGTTTGTAAATATTAGCTTGGCTCCTATCTGAATAAATTTTTCGTTAAGCTTCATAGTGACTCTCTATAAATTGTCGTGAAATAATACAAGCCTGAGTACAAAAACTATAGTCTATATATACTACAGCTCTATACCAAAACGAAGCGAGGGCGGGCCACTAGTTATTTATATACTAGTGGCCCGCCCTCGCTTCGCTTCGGTGTAGAGCTGTAGTGTAGGTGGACTATAGTTTGAGAAACATCAGAACTCTTTTCTCAAATGTTTAATTACGATTTAGGACATATTCGCCAGATTCCTTTTTAGTCAGGATATATTATAGGCTGTCTTTTTTTATTAAAACTAACAACTATATATATTATCTAAAACAAAACAATCTTTTCTGAATGTATTCCAGCCAATTTATTTTTACTTAATAATTGTGTAAATGCTTCGCTCAATATGTTTCGGCTAGTTTAAGCTGATATGATCCCAAAGTAAAGAGTTTAAAATTATTTTCTTGCTGGCTTTATTGTGTCATAACTTTTTTCACACAGCGATTTGGGACACTCCGCCATAACAACAATTAAAGTACCTAAAACCCCTTTCTAATGATATATCGCATATTGTTATTGTTTCCTAGGCAAAAACACAGGACGGGCCCTTTGATGTCCTTTTATTTCGCTCGTAAACGGCAACCATAAGCTAATTTGCTGTACCAACGAGAGATGTTCAACTCCTAGGCAACTTACAGGAGATATATTTGTGGCTACATATATCCCTTTTTGCCATGAAAGCCTTTGCAGGGATGGCAGAGAACTAAGGATGCGTATTAAAAGTAAAATATATTAAAAACTTACCAATCCACAATACCTGATACTATCTGAGTTTATTGTATCAAAGTAATTTGTGCTTCAGTAGAAATTACAATTATTAAATTCCTTTGATAATTTCATACGGTTTTAATAAGTATTTTGTATAAAAAACTACAACTCGTTCGTAACTGTCATGTTATCTATGAAAATCTTTGAGCAAACTCCTCTTGTTATTCTAAAAAGAGGTTATAATTATACATTGTAACATGCATGATAACGGAAGAACGGCATATTTTACTTCTGTGGTACAGTTTGTCTTTAAAGTCGTGACATTAAATGATGGCGCCACTAGTATGCATGTAGCAACCCTATACAGTCTGACCAAAATGATTTTGATACTAGCAGTTCATTCAAGTAAAATAGGTAATTAATAAGACACACTATACAGTCGTATTTTGTTTCTGTTTTATATATAGTAGGTACCTATGTTTATAAAAAGTTTAGCCAAGCATTTAATTGAATCAGAATAAAATTATTATAGATAAAAAAAATCTTTATAGTGTAAAAGTGTGTAATGTTGGTGATTACCGCTGAGGTGCCATTGAGACCAGAGCCGTTAGGTAATCATCAATACACACAAGTATCATCATCGTTTTTTAACACACTTGTTAAGAAACTAATACTAAAATTCATTTTATAGTATATAAAAAGTTTATTTAAAGAAACAATTTGTAAATGTGCAGTTAGTAAAATTAGGGATAGGTATCTTCAGTAAAAGCATCTGGCCATGGTTCTTTATGTGACCATTTCTTCCTTCGGTCGGCCTTGCTTGTTTTCCCAGGAGTTTCAAACTTTCCATCATTCTTAAAACCTTCGTTGACTATCCAACTCTCTCATTTCCCTGAAAAAAAGTGAAAAAATATGTAACGGAATAGAAACAATAACTTATTGACATGAAACAATTAATTCAAAATTGGTAGAAAACCTGACCGAATTGAACCATAATAACGTATCAAAAGAAATGGTCGTACTACAATATTACCTATTTACAATGTCAATCTAACCTAAAAATGTGCAATGTAAACAATGCCTTTTTTGGTCTCAAAATCGTAAATTGAGTAAATTTGTAACTTCAGGCAGATTACAAACAAATAGTTACACTATTACATACCCGTCATAGATGCTGTTCGCCTATAAACATCATCCAAATCCCACAAAATTCGTCCAGCTTGGTAGTCTTCGAAACATCGCTGGAAAACTTTAAAAATCACTTCTCGCGTGCCACTTCGATTTACTTTACTCATTTTTATACCTTTCTGCATAGTTTCGTCTTAATTTATTACAGTTTAATCCAAACAATAAAAAATACAAAAGGAAAACTGTTCCACAACTGAAACTCGATGACAGCTGATGTACATAAGTTTGGAGTTGCCAGACACATGAATAATGTTAGTTCCTCAAACATTCATGTCACGACTTTATAGACAAACTGTACATTTAGCAAATATTTGCTTTAAAATGGCTAATAATATTAAATGATA